CACTTTGGTAGAGCGCATAAATGTTCATGGCTAAATCAAGCGAGCAAATAAAACGGCAGGTGGGACCACATTGGAAAATTAAGGAAAAGCAGAGCATACAGTATTGGTGGTCAAAAAGGGACAGGATTCAGTCGAACAGTGATTCTGATGCAGTTGAAGGGTGTGTGCAAGGGACAAATCAGTTTCAATTTTTACAACCACTCAAAGTGTATTGTTGTGTGGCGGTTTGTGTCGCATGCTTCTAATTACCTGTTTATTCTATCAAGCAGGGAAGATTGAATAAACTTGCTTGAAGGCTCAGAATGATACCAAAGTGCATACTTAATATCAGCTTATAAACAAGCATGGTACCAAAGTCAACACAATAAAAATGAGAAGAAATAAATCAAAGAGGGAAGGAAGAACAAAAATATCAAGTCTTGTGTTTACTGCATTGTACACTTGCAAAAGAAATACAAAAATGCACAAACGACATTATTCGTCTCACTCCGATACTGCTCGGAGAATCCAAACAATGAACCAGTAAATCAAACTTTCCGAAACCAGAAAGTTCAAGGAAACTTTGTGATCACAAATTTGAGTTTGAGCACCTTTGTTTTCCTCTCGTTGACCTTGCACTTATTTAAGCGCACAACGCCTATAAGGTGGCATAAAAAGACCCCAGTTACCAATGTTTAACACGCTAGAACACTTGTGTCAATGAGAGACGGTAATAAGCTAAACCATTTCGTCTTCCCACCATCAATTTTATGGCTGTACCATCACATTCAGGCAGTGAGGAATAGCGCTGTTTATACATTGTCAGTCTGTTTTAGTCCTTTTCTATAACGGCTATATCTTTGTAACATATATATAAACCCGAGGGATAGACTAAGCCTAAACCCAAAGCCTAATTAGCGACCAATTTTCTAGGACGCGATACGGGGAGCTGAACTCGGCAAATGTCCCTCACTACCGGTGAAGGCGGCATCAACCGCAGCACCGGGAGATCCTTGGAGCTCACCAGTACAGGAAACTGAACGACCTGGCAAGCTTCCTTCGCCGTCCTGGGCACCAAACTGAACTGAAACTGAGCATGATTAAAACGTCTCAAACAGAAAACAAAGCTCCACTCCAGTGATTGCCGCTCATCCCTGAATGTGATAAGTTTAAACCCTGTAAAGAATGAAATGTTGTTGTTGAGTGCCATATTTTGGCTACCCGCCATCACTGTTATCGCTGTTGTTGTGCCATTGAATTTGTTGACAGCGTCAGAGACGATAACTTCTCGCTACAACCACCTGTTTCCCGCAATAAAAGCGACTGTAGGTGCGCAATTTGCATAGTCATGATGAAGTTAGAGATCTCATCTTCTTAACAAATACGCCCTGCATATTCGTGTCTCAAACTAAAAACAAAATATTTGAGAACATTTTAATTATCATGTATACATTGTAAATGCCCCAATCCATTTATTATTTGCTATACCGCTTAATCTTCTCCGATACATGAATAATACGTTGTCATGGCTCTCAACAAGCAGCCTCTGACACCATACATGGGCAACAATCCACAGAAGTAGATTGATGTTTACGAGAAGTTAACAACGGGAATTCAATTCTTCATAGCTCGCACATGATTGTGTATACTGGTCCGCTTTTAAAACGGGAGAACGAATCATCATCGGTAAGAGAATATCTGCTCTGACCTTTAAAGTTATTTCATTCTGTTTTGAATTCTTATTAACCTTGCGCATTTTTAAGTAATGAACTATTTTTGTGCACAGAAGATTCTTATAAGAATCTTATGTGCACAAAAATGGTGTTCTTATATATTAGAACACCATGGTGTTCTTGTTTATAATTATAAACATGAATGTAATCGCGAAGTAGGCATTTTAAAATGTGATAATTATCGCATTTTGTGATGAATTTGAGATAAATTTAAATTTATCGCTTGATAAATTTCCAATTTATCACAAATTTAAACTGTTTACCTTTCAAAAGGTAAACAACGAAACTAATAACGTTTTGGTGTATACACTCGATGTCAACATCGATTTGCTCCTAGCTCAGTTCAGTTTCTCAGGAAGAAGTGAGGCTTATACAAGAGCTATGCAAGAGCTTTTACCTTTCTCTCTAGCTACCATTCGGGTGGCCATAGCCATGGCTAGCTATAACTATAATATTCCGTTTAACGGTTTCCAAGTGTAACTTGCCACTACATGACTGGATTTGTTCATCTCAAGAATTGCTTACTGCATGCAGAAATATTTCTTTACATATATCGCATACACGATAATACAAAATAATAAAGTGTATAGTTGAATCGCCGCCCTTTCAGATCAGGTCAGTTCAGTTCAGTTGCACAGGACGAATATGGCTCTTGCCAATCGAGCGTCCAG